GCGGGGCGGCGGGCGGGCGCGGAGAGCCAGGCTGGAGGGGGACCCCGCGGGGCCCGCGCGCTCTTGCCCCACCCCGCTCCCCTCCCACGGCCCCCACCGCCGGCGTTTCCAGGCTCCCCACCCCTGAGCTCTCCAAGTCACAGCCTAATGACGCTAATCACCGCCAATTAGTCAATGAATGAATGAGTGAAACAATGAATGCGTTAAATAAACGGTGAAGAAGTGAGTGGTTGAGTGAATAATCGGGTGTATACATGAGTGAGAAAATGAGTGACTGAATGAATGAATGAGTTAGTGAATTGATGAACGAGAAAATTAATGACTGACTAAATGGGTGAAGGAATATGTAAATAAGTGACCTGAGGGAATAAATGAATGAACCAGTGAATCAATGAATGAGGGAGTACACCCTGGCCTCAGGCCTGTAGGAGGGGTAGGATCCTTCACAGAAGGCCTCACCCTTGCCCTGCGAGGGAGGCCTTTGGGCGGCATCTTGCAGAGGAGACAGGGGAGGCCCAGGGAGGGTGGGGCCTGTCCATGGACACCAGCAAAGGTCAGCAGGAAGGAGGTCGTTCTGTGTGCAGGCTTTGTCTACTGCACACAATCACAGTTGCCTTCCATCTACCCGGCAGCCGTTGAGCTCACCGGGTCTCAGAGATTCTGCAAACAACAGCCAGCAGCCAGGGAAGGGGCACAGGATGGTCTTATCCTCAAAAGTCAGATTTGCTTCCTCCATGGGAATGGGTTGGGGGGGAAGGGGAAGGTGAGTGTGCAATCCAGACAAAGGAGTACTACACTGCCATAAAAAAGGAGAACATTCTTTGGAAGAAGACAAAATGAGGAACACTGTTTATAGTATGTGCAGAAAACCGGAGGGAAGGCTCTACATTCATATTTGCTCAAATATGTGGAAAATTATCTCTAGTGGAAACACTGGTCCCTTCCAGAATGGGAATCATGTGGCTAGGGGCAGGTGGGAGAGACTCACTTTTCACTGTATCCCCTTTTGTGCCTCTTGAAATTTTGAACCCTGGAAATGCATTAGCTATCCAAAAAAGAGGCTAAAATTTTTAAATAAATTTTTACAATATTTATTTTTTTCATTTTTTTTACAACAATATTTAAAAAAACATCTATACCTCAGTAAAAGCTGTTTCCTCCCTAACCAAACAAGTCAGCCTATTTGCCTGGATACCCTCTCTCCCACATCTAGCTCAGAGAGGGAGAGGGCCTTGGTAGTTATCAGCAGAGCAAAATACGAATGTGGCGGTCAGTGCAGAGCACATTCTACCCTTTGTGAATGCTGGGAGGAAAACAAGCATCCTCTGCTTTGATCCTGGGTTTGTCAGTTTTTAGCTGTGTGTCTTTGGGCAAGTTACCTCATCTTTTTGAGCCTCCCGTTCCCCACCTGCAAACCAGAGACCATCATATTGTCCTACCAGAGTCCAGTAAAGCTGGAGCCAGGTACTTGAATTCCAAAAGGTAGTTCAATGGTGGAACCCCAGGCACCTTGACCCTAACAGTAAAGCCACCTAAACTTTGGCCTTCAGAAGTACCCCTTTTGTAAGCTGAGGGTAAGCTTTTTTTTTAAAGATTTTATTTATTTATTTGAGAGAGAGAATGAGAGAGAGAGAGCAGGCGCAGAGGGGAGGAGCAGAGGGAAAGGGAGAAGCAGACTCCCCACTGAGCAGGGAGCCCAATGTGGGCCTCGATCCCAGGACCCTGGGATCATGGCCTGAGCCAAAGGCAGACACTTAACCGACTGAGCCACCCAGGTGCCCCAGAGGGTAAGATTTTTATGTGACCTTAGATCCCCAACACTTCAGCAATGTTGGTATAATTAGCCCCATTTTACAAAGGAGGGCACGGGGGTTTAGAGAGGTTAACTGTCTTACTCAAGTTCGCACAGCCAGGAATTGTCAGAACTGGCGTTTAAACCCAGACCTGCCCAGCTCCAAGCACCCGCAGACAGCGCTGCCCACACAGATCATCTGATATATTTATCCCCTGTTTGTGCTCCTAAGACCCTCAGATGGGTCATATCCCAGCCCTGTATTAATTCTGAATTATTAATCACTTCAGTAAGTAGGGCGCAGGCCCAGGGGGTTAGGGCAAGGGAGGGGCGGATCTGCACTCAGGCCCTGGTCTGCAGAGTGCTGACTCCAGAACTTGTCTTAATGGCTGTGAGCTTCTGACAAGGGAGTGAGTCTCCCCCGGCAGCAGAACTGTGAATCACTGCTGTCCGCACCCAGATTGATGAGCTCCACAGCCAGGCGGCCCGCTGCTCGGAGGCTGACAGGGCCGGGATGGCTGAAGGGAGAGAGGCAAGCACACCAGCACCAAGTTCAAGAGGCGCCGGCAGAGGAGGGCAGTGAGGGAGGCAGGACACAGGAGAGGAGTGGCGGTGGCAGGAGAGAGAAGTGACATGAGCAGGGTGGACAGCATGATTGAGAGGAGGGTGTTCCTGTTATCCCCCGTTGCAAATCAGGCCACTCCAAACTTCAGGGGCATAAAACAACCATTGTGTTATGGTCGCAAATTCTCTGGGTCAGGAACTTGGGCAGGGCAAAGGGGCTGTCTCAGCTCCGTGATATCAGGGCCTCAGCTGGGAAGACTCGAAGGCCGGGGCTGGAATCATCTGGAGGCTTCTTCACTCACCGCTGCCTGAGCTGGAATGACTCAAAGGCCGGGCTCCGCGGAGACCATCACCCCAAGTGTCTGCCGATGGCCTCTTCATGTGGGCCTGGTCTTCCTCACAGCATGGCGACCTCGGGGCAGCAGAACCTCTTACGTGGGGCTCACGGCAAGGCGTGCCAGAGCAGGTGTGCCGTGGCTCAAGGGAGAAGCCTCATCCCCGTTCGTGGGCTAGCCTCGGAAATCAGGAAGCATCACTGCCTGCTCTTCTTAGCCTCCCAAATTCCACGGAGGCGGCACAGACCCCCTCTTGTGGGAGGAATGTCGAAGGATCCAAGTGTGTTTGAAACCCACAGAAGGGAGGAGATGTGAGAGGAAAAAAGAGGAGGGAGGGTAACAGAGCAAGTCCTATCCACTGGAGGAGAAGTAAGAGAAAAAGAGTAATGCGGAAGCGTCAGAGAAGAAATCCCTTACTGGGAGGAGAGATGAAAGGAGTCGTAGTAGGGGGAAGAGAAGAGAAGAGAAACAATGGGTGGAGAGGTAACATTAAGAACAGTAGCAAGAAAAAAAAAAAAAAAGAATAGTAGCAAGAGGGCCCCTGGGTGGCTCAGTCGTTAAGCGTCTGCCTTCAGCTCAGGTCATGATCCCAGGGTCCTGGGATCAAGCCCCACATCGGGCTCCCTGCTCGGCGGGAAGCCTGCTTCTCCCTCTCCCACTCCCCCTGCTTGTGTTCCTGCTCTCGCTGTGTCTCTCTCTGTCAAATAAATAAATAAAATCTTAAAAAAAAAAAAAATAGTAGCAAGAAATGTAATAGCAGCCCAACCAGGAATTCCTGAACAGCAGTAGGAATGGGAGAGGCCCTTCGACAGTAGGGAGAGGAGAGAGAGACAGTGTGCAAACAGAAGAGCAGTATTTGGGGCATAACAGAAAGGAAATAGTAAGAAGAATGACCGCAAGTGAGCAACCTTGCAATGAAATAGGACAGGGGAGATGTAGCTAGTGGTAATGGGAGAAGCAGCATGGGGATGTAATGAGAGGAATAGTCAAAGGAAAAGGGGTAAGAATGGGGGAGCTGTGGGGGCACCTGGGTGGCTCAGTCTGTTGAGACTTCGGCTCAGGTCATGATCCTGGGGTCTTGGGATCGAGCCCCACATCGGGCTCCTTGCTCAGCAGGAGCCTGCTTCTCCCTCTGCCTCTGTCTGCCACTCTGCCTACTTGTGTTCTCTCTCCCTCTGACAAATAAATAAATAAAAATCTAAAAAAAAAAAAGAATGGGGGAGATGTGAATTAATGAATGAGGGCAGGAGCAGGAGTAACAGGAGGGGGTGTGGCAGAGTGGTTTAGGACCCGGAATATTCCAGAACCTGGTACCTGCTTTCAAAGCCACCTCCAAACTGCACCTCTGGTGAGTTTCTGAACTGTGCCTCAGTCTTTGTATCTGTAAAATGGAAATGGTAATCCCAATCACATCTCCCTGATAAGGTTGTCATGAGGGTCGGTGAGTTAATACACTGAAGCATTTAGTGCCTGGCTCATAGTGGGGCTGATGTAAGTGTTACACACCATTCCTAGTTCTATTAATACCCTAGAAATGGGAGAGATCCCCTGAGCAACAGAAGCAGCAGGGGCTGCCTGTCAGGGAAGTAGGTCCAGCTGACTCAAAGGCCTGCCTGGCCTGTTGCTGCCTCGCTGGTGACCAGGGCATGGCCCCTCCCCAAGGGCCTAGTCCGCCACCCAGCACACTTATTTCATGCACCCCCCGCCCCACCTCAGGGCCCCTGAGCAGCTTCCTGGGCAGGAGGTAGGGTGAGGACTATAAGCCCTGCCACAGGCAGGAACCAAGAACCAAAGCAGGGACAGAACTCAGCCAAGGTTACCCACCAAGGCATGGCAGGACCCGGGCTGCACCCAGGCTTCCAGGCTCTCCCCTCCCAGAGCTCTCAGGGGAGAAGGGGCACATGTATGCTTGGTTCCAGGTGGTCAGGACTGGTACACTAGAACCTTCTTGACTCCTGACTCTGACTGCATTTCATGGGAACCTAACAGCCTTTGGTTGGGAGGGCAGCAAGCTCAACCCGGTCTGATGACATGTGGGAGCTGAGCAAACCACTGGGGTGCGGGAAGGAACGAATATGACTTCTCTTT